TTGTTTTCTCTTGCCTAAGTTTTGCCCCAGTTCCCCCAGTTTTATCCATTTCAGTGCGTTAACTTCAAGTGTGGTGTAGCTTGTGGTGCTGGTGTAGGCTGCTGGCATTGTAAGGGTGGTGCATTTCCACGAGCATACTCAGAAGCTGGTGCTGCTTCTGGCCTCCTGTCCTTGTTCTGCCACCTCTTGGCTGCACCCACCCTGGCATTTGTATGAGCTCTGGGGAAGTAGATTGGAAGGCTTAAAACTCTTTTATTCTTGGCTCATGGTACAAGATCACAGGTTTGATCACTTGTGCTACATGATTTGCTGTGTGATCGTTTGCTTCACTGAACAGGATTGTTAACGGTTGTGGATTTTAGGAGTGAACAGGGAAGGGGATCCATACTGCATATGGTGGCAGTACTGGCTGAACTTGGAATTTCAGTACAACTTACATAAAGTCGTACTGAAATTCTTTACTTCCTTGTAAAGCTAATGCTGTCTGAAGGTCAAAAGGACCTGTGGGCCTAGATCTAGATATGTGCGTTAGTGTTCCAGTTGTTCTTGTTCTAGAATTAATATCTGTGAGGATTTCTCTGCATATCCAAGTTAGATTATTTAATATATCACACACTGTTTTAGGAGAGTAAAAATCCAATGACTATGAATATCACTGCTGTAGCATTTTGGAATTAAGGGTAGAATCTGTGGGTGTAGAAAATGCTTTGGAAAAGGCAGTAGCCTCTTGATAAACAACTGCTTTTCCTCCCCTCCCCCTACTAAAGCTGTAAACACCAAGACAAAATTATATATTCTGCTAAAGCAGCAGTGCTGTATTTAATTTCTAAAAATTCCTGTTGTCATGAGTGGGTGCTAAACTGTCAGCTGACACAATATGACTTGCTTTGTCTGAAACAGAAGAGAAAGTTGCTAGTCTGTGCTGCCTACTTTAATCTTCCAAGCGGTTTGTAGTATTGCCTAATGATAGTTATGTAGTCTGTGATGTAAGTGAAATGAAATACTGATGTAGCAGATTTCTAGACTGCTAAAAGATGCCTCCTATATTAGGAAACATGGCTGGTTTTAGTATAAACACAGGGAAGGTGGCTGTTTGGCCTTGAGTGGATTGCTTAGTCTGTTTATTTGTAGGGTTAGGGGAAAAAGTCAGACATGCCTACACTTTCAACTTCTTATGTCAGAATGTCACTCCCACACCAGTTGTGAGCATCTCCTCCATATGGTGTTTGGTGGTCCATCAAGAACCAAAAGACTCCTGATGAGGATAAGCAAAGAGAGTAAGCCAAATCTGCTCCTTTAATATAAGTAGGTGTTTCAGAAGGTAACATCTGCCTCTGGAGCCATGAGCTGCTTTGCAGCAAGGAACCAGTACTGGTAGTACTAGGCCCCCTGTCCCTTCAAAGCATTTTTTAGAAAAAAAGTATATGGGGAAAAAAAATAACATTTTGTTTTTTCATTTTGTGAAAATACTGTGATTGATATTGACTGGGACATCTTGCCAGTTGTATGGAGTAATGGAGAGAAGTGTCTTGCAAGCTGATGGTCAAAATGATAAGGTAGGTGGGGAATGGTGCTTATCAGTAAAGGGTACTTTTGATGTTCTTCATTCCTGGGAACAGTTTCACAGAAGCTGGGACTTGGAACAATTGGATCTGAATCCCAGTGCCAGGGAGGGCAACCTAACAAAAAGTAAAACTTTGAGTGTGTTTGTATTTTAGGTCCTGAAATGGTATACTTGTCTTCTGTCTCATATTATGTTTTAAGCCTCTTTGTCTAGTAGAACTCAATTTTTATGGAATTTAATCATATGCTAGTTACATGCCACCTGCTGCCTCCTCTTTTGTAGTGGTAGCAGCAGTAAAAGCAATGTTTCTTATTAGTAGTGTGTGCATTTTACAGTTAGCACCTCTGTCTTTTGCCAGGATCCTGATTTTCACAGGGAGGCAGGCAGAACAGTGGTGAAGGCATTCGTGTGCCTGTATCCAGAGAATGTCTGTCCTGGGTTCAGCAGTGGCAGTCATTTTTCTCCTTAGTAGCTGGTGCAGTGCTGTGTTTTTGACTTTCAGCCTGGGAACAACCTTGACAATGTGCTTGCACTGGCAGCCAGTATATTGCTGTAACACAGATTTAAACTGATGCAAATGGAGTCTTGGACTTTGCTCAGATTAGTGGTGTTCTGCTGTTGTCTCTAGTGTCTCCTTTTTTTCCCCTCTTCCCCAGACCCATCAGACTTACTGACTTGGATAAGTGTATGACTACTGAGTACTGAAATAAAAATTTCCATTTGGGGCTAGAGGCTGAGATGAAGTTAGAAAAGCCAAGTGTTCATTCCTTCTCTTGTGTTCTCTCGGCTGCAGGCTTAGAAAAACAGGAGAGTAGTGTTTAAGTAAGTTTTCTTTACTATGTCTTTTAATAGTAAGATTTCAAGATGTTGTCTGTGAAGTTAGATGGGTTGGAAAGGTCAGTAACTAAAGCTGAACCAGGGCATGAGGAAACAAAACTGTCTACTTACAGGAATGTATATTGCAAAACTCAGCTTATGTGACCGATCATATCTAGGGAAGTCCTGTCCAGTCACTGCTTGTGCTGCTATAAAGTACAATTTTCTTTGTTTTAACAAAGGTTAAGTGCTTTTTTGCAATAAATGAACTGTGAGCATTAGAACTTCGTTATAAGGTGAAGTTTTAGAAGGCAAAAAGACTTGTTTTCTGTATTTGGTCACAACTGCATGGAAATCAACATCTAACTGTGGCAAGATCAAACTCAGGTGTTAATTCTGAATGTTCACACTCTCTAGCCTGACAAATTTTGCAGGTATTGTTTCTGTAAGAATGTACAATATATACTTTATTTTTTCTCCAGACTCTGCTGTTTCTATGGAGCCCACCAAGTGGTTCATTTTGTGTGTACAGTCCCTTTACTGTGGCTGTTGAAAAAAAAAAAAAAGCTTTAGTTCTGACTTAACTCAGTTTTACTCCAACTTGTATAGAATAATTTTTTACTCCATCTTGTATGGCATCATGTGGAATAATTCCTTCTTTTAATGATTTTTCTGCTGCTATTGTGTCTGTCCAGATGCACCAATCTGGACTCACCTAGTGACTAATGTATCTTAAGCAACCTGTGTAGGTAACATATGCCTGAAAGCTACTTAGGTGGTGTCTGGTTTTATTATATACAAATTAATCTACTTCATGTCATGTGGATCAGTATGACTTGTATAACACCTACCAACTTTTAGTATGATCTGAAAATTCCTCTTGTGCACATGCAAGCCATTTTAGCCTGAAAAAAAAAGCAAAAATTATTCTTTGTCCACGTCTTGCAATCCTACTTTGAAGTCACATGATTTTCTGATATTCTACAGTTTTAAGTAGTTATGGAGAAAACTACTAAAAATCTATCCTCCTCAGTTTTTTTTCTGTATGGTCTCTGCATTTCTGAAAACTTATTTCCATTTGTTGGGCAGCAAAGAAACTTCCTGGCTGGGCTTGAAGAGGGACAGGGGGTGTGTCTGGACCAAGGAAGGGCTCTCAGTCTGTTTCCAGATGGAAGCCAATCCTGGCATTGGGTGACCTCTGGAAGGAAAATCAAAATCTGTTTGCAATAGGAGTTTGTAGTCTCATGGGCTGGAGGTGTCTGTTGTGTGTCCTTGATCTGTTTGTGTGTGTGTGGTTTTAGCTTCAGGGGAAAAAAAAGTTTGAGACAAGGCTTGAAATATTTTCTGAAATAGATTTCAGAAAACAAGCTTCTCCAGAAGACACTGATTGTAGTACTCCATAATTGTCCTGGAAAACAATTGGTATTTCACTTACCAAAAGAGCTTGCTTTAGCTTTTATTGAATGGGATTCTCCAAGTTGACAGGTATTTGCTTCTGTTCTTTCTTTCTGTGGGGCTGTTCTTTGTACACCGAGGTACAGGCTGTCTTTTAAAAAAAAAAAAAAAAGGTGGTGATCTTCATTTCTGTATTCCATGGTGCTTGGTTTCAGACACTGCTGGGTAGGCACGGTTTCTGCATGCTGTCTGTGAATGTCCAAGCCAGCATAGTCCTTGAAGCCTTTTCCTTAGTTATGAGGTGTATAAAAATTCTCTATGCTTGCTTTTCTGTTGCTTTTCACTGACATGTTATGCGAGGAAAACCTTTACCTCAAGGTGAGTGTAGGGTTGAAATATGGGACTGTTTTTGTCTGTCTTAAGCAGTACTTCTGTGGTCAGCTGTCTGGAATGCAAGAGCTGCGGAGTGCTTTGTCTTCCCTGCTCCAGCTCTCAGTTTAACAGCTTTACCCTCTGTTCTTTTGTTCCTACGCATGGCATTTCTGCATTTCTGCAGAGGTGGTTTAGTTACGGTGCTCTGAAAAGCTGTAGTTCTCTGAAATATTTGAGCAACAGTTGCAGTTGAACCTTATCTCTACTGAATGTACAAAAACACAGAAAACAAACTGCAGAGCAGACCAGCTTTTTAATGTTTGTGAGAATAAGACTTCTTATGGGATAATGATTTAGTAAAGAAATGTTAAAGTGTAGAAAAGATAGTGTACAACTGCCTGTTGTATTTAGCAGTCTGTAGACATTGAGGTTTTCCAGGTAACATCTTACTAGCTGGGTGGATATGTGATCTACAAGGGTATGTATTTACACTTTTGTGTAAGTCCAAGCAGCTGTCTGTATAAGTAAAATGGTTTTGAAGGAGTGAGAAAACAAATGAACGCCAGCTTGCTGATGCAGACCTTCCAGGCCAATTGTATAGCTAGTTTCCTTTTTGGGTGTCCCTTCCTGTTACCACATCAGGGTGCTTAAAGAATATAGGGTTATTAAGCAACAAATACTTAGGGGGAGTTTAGAGTCAGCAGAAGTTTCTGAGCTGACTTTGAACATACCGCTGAATGTCATATGATGCATGTTACTATAGTCGCTTTCTCAACAAGAGATCTAGAAAAAGGTTCTTTATTCTTAAAACATTTCACTGCCTAATTATTCTCATTCTCTCTCTTATGTGCAGACGCTGTGCTATAGAAAATGCACTATTATCGATATTCTAATGCAGAAGTCAGCTGTTGGTACAAATACCTGCTCTTCAGCTACAACATTGTCTTCTGGGTGAGTACAAAATGTAGAGACTGAAATAGCTTAGGCATACCTCAGTTTTACTAACTTCCTTCCTCTGTTCAAGAGGCTGAAATATTTACCTGAAAGGAAATTGGTGTATGGTATGTCTTGGGTGTTTTGGAACTGAGGAAGCCTATCCCATGTAATCTTTCCTTTCGTTGCCCTTTCCTCCTATCTTACCTTCTGAGTGAAGATAAAGGAGAGAAGCAGGTAAAAAGATAAAATTGTGTTGGTTTGTTTGTTTAGTTGTTTTTTTGTGTGTGGGATTTTTTAGGAGAAAGGAAATATTTGCTTAAAGGATTTTTCAGAATAGTATAGTCTCTACTGTTGCTGAAAAGGCCTCTATCTTTTGAATGATGGAGGCTATTCAACGCTGGTTGTGTTTGTGCAAAGGTTAAAGCTACCTTACTTAAGTGGTACATTGAGTTGCTTCCCTGTTAAGAGAAGCCTCTTCTAATATCTCCTTTCAGATCATCTTTGATCTCTGTGTTTGAGTGGTGTAGCTTAAACACACTATGCAGAAAAGAAGAAAGGAACGGCCCCAGAGATGTGTCAACTTGCGGGCATTGCAACATACTCAAGATTTTAAATGCCATGCTCTGTGGGCAGCAAAATTGTCTGATACACTCTTGAAATACTTAGCTAGGGACTAGCCTTTCTGTAATGCTTGTTTAGAATTGTGAATGTGAAAAGGGTGAAAAAGCAGGTGTGTGGTTTCAGATGTGTATGATGGTCAAAATCACTGAAGCACCTAACTACCTTGGAAAAGAAGCCTGTTATTCAAAGGGTAGTGCATAGTGTTGCATTAAAAATAGTTAACATGTCTGTGAAGGAAAGGTAAGGATGCGGTTCAAATAAACTTGATAATTCTTTTCAGAACTTGCAGGTCAAATGTTAAGAGTTTGCACCTGAAGTCATGAAAACTGCGGGCATGGAAGGGCATGGGTGGTCATGAAGAAATGCAGATCTGGTGATTTGCCTGGTGCTAGCATCTTAGATTAATGTTCTGACTCAGAGTTGAAATATTTCTTAGTATGTATGGCTCTTCTAAAAATGTTTAGATTTTTTTTCAAAGCTGAAAGGATCAGATAGTAAGAATGAAAGTATGGTATGTGGTTGAAGCAACTTCTTAAAGTTAAGAGTAAAAATTAATCCTGATGCTGACTTGTCTAAGTAGACATGCTAGAGTGGACTGTATTTATTTTATTTGTTTATTGTGAATCCTTAAACCATGTCAACTTTTACTACCTGAAGTTTAAGATATACAGAATTACTACCAAAATCGGTGTTTAACTTCTGTAAAAAATGGGATTTAGTATCTGAACATAAATTGCAGATTCTTGTTTGGTTTTGTCAGCAATGATTTTATATTTGCTTGATTTACCCACATAAATTTCTGGTAAACTAGATTGGTGATTCTGCACATTTTGTCTGCTTTGGCAGTTTTTAAGGTAGAAAATAAGGTTTTTTTTGAAAGCTACGTGTATTATGGACAAAAATCTGAATTAATTTAGAATCACAGAAAAGACTAGGTTCGTTCCAAATGGAAGGCCAGGTTGGATGAGGCTTCAAGCAGCTGGTCAAGTAGAAGGTGTCCCAGCCCATGCGGGGGGAGTTGGGACTAGATGATCTTTAAGGTTCCTTTCAATTCAAACCATTCTGTGATTCTGTGAACTTCTGGGGGTCATCTTGCCCAGTTTTCTATTGAAAGTGGGACCAAAGGGTAAGAAATAACTGCTCAAAGAGAAGAGCTGGGAGTTTTATGAGCTGCTTACTCGTTAATTTTTTGCAGCTCTCAGCCTAATAAAAATTCTGGAAGGCCAGGTAATGCTGGGGCAGCATTGTTTGGTATGGTGGCTGAAAACCAGGGAAGCTTTTGTTACTGCACCACCTCTTGTTTACTAGTGTAGTGTCTTGACATGGTATTGCACCCGTAAGCCACAGGGGTGTTTACTTGTGTAGGTAACAGGGCAGGAAAGATGTGTGTGGTTTGAGTAGAAACTTCTTTTCCAGGAAGAGTTAATTTGCCACAATGTTGCCCAAGTGCAAATGTTTGTTAGTGATGACATTTTCCCACTAGCAATTGCGGATTCCCATCATAGGCTTGTTTCAAAAAGTGTGTGCTCAAAGGCTGCCAGCTTTGTAGTTACTTTTCTTCTGTATATAGTACAACTCCTATGTAACTGTAAAGTGTGGTGCAATGAGGAGTAATATTCATCAAGCTGCTCTGGTTTTCAGAGAAATTGCTTTGTAACTGGGTAGGTGCTCTTCATCAGGTAGCATGGGGTATGTGAGAAATTGATTGGCTCTTTTATTCATGAATGTATTAGAATTGTTCTAGGTCTCTGCTTACATTCTAGTGAGTGTCTTGGGAGGTGGGGTCTATTATTTTTTTTGATGAGTAAACAACCTTTGAAAATCTGTTTTTGTTTTTTTTTTTTCCTGAAAGGCATTTGCCTCCCCTTTTTTCACAGGAATTAATTTTGTCTCTTTCTATTTTATTTTTATTCCCTGCAGAGTCATATTTCACTCCTTTCAAACTTACTTTTTACTGTATTCTCTTGAAATTAGTGATGACAATCCACAGATCTTTTTTCTATTCCTTAAAGAATCTTTTTTAAAAAGATGCAGAAAAAATGAGGAGAATTTGAAATACAGTTTGTGCATTTCAGCTGTTTGCTTTAGGAATTGGTTTTGTGAACAGGTACTATTTCTTGGTACCTTGCTCAACAAATGGTATGAGGCTTTGTTGTGGTTTAAACCCAGCCATCAACTAAGCACCATGCAGCTACTGGCTCATCCCTTCCTCTCCTTGCCCCACTAAAATATCAGTGTGTTATCACCATTATTCTCAGCCTAAAGCAGAAGCACAGCACTGTACCAGCTACTAGGAAGAAAATTAACTCTATCCTAGCCAAAACCAGGACAGGCTTCTGAGAAGTTTTTGGCCTAACCTAGTAAACTATGTGCAGCTGCAGCTGTTATGGTGAGAGTTCAGTATCTTCAGTTGTAGAACAAGCTATGTAAATGTTGTGTGGGAGGGTAGACAATCCTATAGGCAATGCATGAATCATTGAGCTGAACGGGTGATTCAGGAGCCTATGACATCCTCCTGGCTGGGATGACTAGTCTAACGATCTCTTTAATTGGACAAATCCATCATGTGTGGAACGAAGTAAATTTTCTGTGTGCCTTAAGAACGGAAGGACTACAAAATCAGAAGGGAAATGTAAACATGACTGGAAAAAAGCAGGAGTAAGGGAGGAAATATTGGTCTTGAATTACTTTTCTTGGCTTGCAAGACAGGTACCTGTGGGAACTTGTGTGAGTGTGGCTGCTATATAATGGGTATGAGGGATAGTGCTTATGTAGGTGAGCAGACAGCCTCTTGCCTATTTAAGCTGTTACTTGAGATACGATGATAGCTCACCTTTGTCTCAACTCCTGACACAGTTTAGTCACGAACTAGGTAATTTGCATATAAATAAAGCTGCAGTTGTTCCTCCCTCATGCTTGCTAAAGATGCATGTTGACTTCCTCATTGTAGTTCTAAAGACAGTATCAGTGACTATAAATTTTAAAGTGAATAGTTTACAGTATATTTTTAGTGGGTGGTTGGTTACTTCAGTTTATATCATTTATCAAATACATTTCACATGGACCGGGGTTGCACAAAATATTGAACTACGAGGACAAATACGACTTAATAATGACAAACTCACAGTTTAATAATCCTTTAGCAATCTGTAATTTATTTTTTTTGTAAGGCTTGTTGTTGTTTTTTTTTTTTTCCACATAAGCAACTTCTCAATAGAAGTTTCAGTTCTGATGGCTTCGAGTTAGTTGTATACAACTGGCTTGCAAAAATCACTTTTCTCTTCTTTGTGCTTGGCTTTCCCTTGTGAGAAAGGGAATGGAGGTCATAGGAAGGCTCTTGTCTTCCTAGGCATGATTTTAATGTGGGATTGCTTTATTCTCTTCTTGCCTTTTAAGCATGCTAATAAGATTTAACTCTCCAAGTACACTTGTTTTGATGAGCAGTGATGAGGCAGTATTGCAACCATTAAGACAGCCCTGCAGGGAGTGCTCAGAAGTTTAAGTGAAATTGCCTTATTACAGCAAGACTAGACCCCCTTTAGAGTTTTTAAAGCTTTCTCCCTCCCCAAATGCCTTCATTTGCCATTATGAAATTAAAAGGCTGCAATAATAAAAAGCTGAAGAGCTTGGTTCTAGCACCTTTCTGTTCCAAGTCATTTTGCAATGTCGTGAGTTCTGTGAAAGCCCCAGTGGAGGGAGGAGGCAGGGGTGGATAACTGCCCACAGGGGAAGTGCAAGGGTGCCCTGTTTTGGGGTGCAGCACTGTTCTTATGCCTTCCAGCCTGGGAATTCTTGGGAAGGCCTAAAGAATGAAAGGCACTGCCTCAATCATCTGTCTCTAATGCTTGCTGCTTTGTCTCCAGTTGAAGGATTTTCTTTGGTAGTCCAAGAATGGCACCTTGGCCAGGATATGGCTATTTCAGTGAAGCATTGCATGTGTGCTCTGCCAAAGCCTTTTAGGTTGCATATGGGCTCACTGTCTCTCAGATGTATTGAAAGGAGAGCATAAAATAGCTTTTAGTTGCTGTCATCTTGATTTATCTTCTGATGCTTTGTAGCTGTGTTTGTAGCTCTTAAGGGGGGTTTGGAGGAAAAAAAATACTTTTTTCCCCTCATCCTATAGAAGCTGTGGCATTTTTGCTCTGAACATGAAGGGCAAAAATTCTCTTTAAGTTGTGAAAAGAATACCGAGTTCGTTTTTGCAAAGTAGGAGAAGACTGAGGGTAGCGTAAGATTTTCTTGTCTTTTGCAGTTTATGTTGTTTCTCAGGAACATCTAAAAAAGCAAGGAAGAGGAAAGAATCCACCACCAGGTGGTTTCCTGACCCTGAGAGGAAAAGTCTTGGAGGAGACAAGGGTAGGAAGGAAGGCTGTAGGCTGCTGTTTGCTCCAGCATAGGTGGAGCTATAGAATAGAACAGGATTGTCCAGGGGTGGAAGAAGTGTTCTCTGTGAGAGTAACATTTTGTGCTTACAAAAATTGAGTGCAATAAGAATGCATTCCCATTGTTTCTGATAAGACCATGAAGCAGGCTGTTCCAAAATCAGTTCATGTGCAAGGGATGTCTTGCAGGAATTATGTTTGCTGCAATCTAGATTTGAGAAACAAATTAGATCTGTTTTCTCAGCTAGTAGGGTGATTCTTAATAGCATAACAAAGGAATTCAAAGTGTGGTTGGCAATGGATAATGCTTAAGTGGTCCTTGTACATGGTGTCTGTGAGTTGGTGTGTTGTACATCTCCTGAGCCGAGGCTACAGCTTGTAGTGGTATGTTAATAATGTGGATTTTTCAGTTCTAAAGCAGTAAATGACCAAATGCTGCTTCGTTTCCTGTTCAAAGGGGTATAGCTGAGCTGAGTCTTTGGTGCAGTATGTGGTTTAAATGACTCCATAGCACAGAATTGAATTGGGTAGTCCAGTTTGTTCTTGCTCACATATCCAGATTCTAGTGAAAGGCTAATTCCAAAATGCTTCTCTTGAAATAAAGCTGGCTTGCTCACTTTCACCCTGGGAACACATGGTTAGCATTGCTACTTCTCAGTTGCCTGTTCTCCCATTTGTGTGGCCAGTTAGTTCAGTGAGCTGATTGATGAAGGTTAAAACTTTTCTTTCACTTCAGGCTGGATCAGTTCCCTTGTCTTCATCATAGCAGTTAGCGGAATTCCTCTCTGCAAGAGTGATCAAGAGAGGGTATTTTCCTAGTACTAATTCTCTGTAGAAATCTGTATTGGGCATGCTCAATCACACTAACTTCTGAGGTAGTTTTATCACCATTGTGTGTTTTACAATAGTTTCCAGTGAGACATTTTACAGTATCTTGTAATTGGCATTTCAAGCAATCTCATTCAGTTAAATAGCTACCATCTTACTTCCTTGAAAATTGGTTGTCTTGGTAATTGTGCCTGTAAAGCTGAGATGGCTTTGTTTCTTCTGCAAGTACATCATACTTCACTGTTTTTTTTGCTAAAGAAACCTAATGTATGTGATTTGTTGTGTTTCTAGTGAGAATTATGAATTGCTTAGGTGAATTAAGTTACAGATTTTTCCATGTCAATTCTATTAGATTAAGTTGATTTTTTTTTTTTCCACTAATAACTGTTTTACTTATAGGTAGTATGCATATGTGCCCATGGAAATAACTTTGCAAAAATAGTGCAGCTTTGTGAAACTGAACATTTAATAAAACATGAGTTTGTATTCAGAGGTGAGAATGAAGCATGCTAGTGAAAAATCTACTTAATCTATTACAATTTAAGACAACAATAATTATAATGAAAGGCAACCAGTCTGAAGAGGACACCTTATTTGTATATTCAATAGCACATTATTAGTGCTACAGTAACATTAGCTTGTAAACTGAATGTGGAAGTCTTCCTGATTTTTCCCCCTCATTTCTTAAGGAAAAGTTCCCAAATATCCAGCTGTGTCTACCATGTAATTTACCTTGATTACAGCAAATTATGCCAGCTGTCTTCACCTGTGTCTCAGCATGTCTGGAGCATTGGGAATGAGAAAGGGTGAAGGATGCATTGATTGCATTTGCTGTAAAACTTGATGATATACAGGTTGTGAGTACAGATTATTTTTTTTTTTTAATTGCTTCTTCATCTGAAAACCACTGGGTTAAGATTTAGGGGTAATCTGGGTCAATATTCTGTTTATATACATGTGTTTTTTTTTTTTTAATAGTATTTTTAAAGCTGTGCTTTGATCCAAATCATTACTTTAAATGTTCTTAACTATTTAGAGTCTGAGATGAGTAGGTATGCTGTTGCTTATTAAGCAGTATCTGGAAATTTATTTAGCACTTCTTTGCCCCATTGTAACTCTTTACATCTATTAGTTGATTTGATTGGTTAATCTGTGTGATTAAGCCCTAAAATATGGCATATAATACTTTATGCCTAGATGGAGGTATCAGGTCATGTGAGTAATTTTTACTGAATGACAAGAATGACACAGACCTTTTAGGCTTTTTTTCCCCCCACTTCCCCCAGCAGAGTAAACCTAGAACAACTTAATTTGCCCTGACTGTGGTTTAGGATCAGTAGGAAGTGAACCCAGTAGTACTTAAAATCTACACATACTTTCTTGTGTGACTGTGAGACAGTCCCATTTTCTTCTTCTTGCCTGTGCTGTGGGGATTTGCCTTTGATGCTTATTTAGTTCATGGGAGAGAGGAAAGGGCCCCCTTTTCAAGGCATTTTTTCATTTGTTGGGCTTTACTTGTCAATGTGTATAAGGCTGGGTTGGTGGGGGTGGCAAACTCCATCCTTTATATAGCATCATTTAGGTTGGAAAAGGCGTTAACCTAACACTGCCCATTTCACCACTAAGCCATGTCCCGAAGTGCTACATCTGCACACCTGTCTTTTAGAATACCTCTAGGGATGGTGACTCGACCACTTCCCTGGGCAGCTGATTCCAATACGTGACAACACTTTTGGTGAAGAAATTTTTCCTAATACTCAATCTAAACCTCCCCTGGAGCAACTTGTGACTGTTTTGCTCTCATCCTGTAGTTTGTTACTTGCCACCTCCTCATCCATCCTCCTTTCAGTTGGTTGTAGAGTGATAATGTCTCCCCTCAGCCTCTTTTTCTCAAGACTAAGCAAAGCCTAGTTCCTTCAGCTGTTCCTCACAGAACTCGTCCTCTAGACACTTCACCAGCTTCGTTGTTCTTTGGACATGTTTCAGCACCTCAGCATCTTTTAAGGTTACATAGACACAGTGATATGATATATTGCTTGCTGTATTGCGTACCTGCAATTGGTAGCCACAGTTACATAGTTACTGCATGTTGGGCTGGGACAAAGGGACCCTCTTAAAACAATAAGGAACTCATTCATGGGCCAGCCGCATCTTGGTTGTGTTTGAAGGATGAAAAGAGAATATCCAGGATTGGTGGCACCAAAAGGATGAATTATTTGACAGCTTGGTGAAGTGACCATTCAATTGACAAAAGAACTAACTTTTAAGGTGTCCTAAAGTGAACTGCCTTTATTATAACGTTAAAAATCACAACCACAGGTGAAAAAGACCCTGGCCCAGCTGATGACCCTTCTCCTGAGTCTTTCCGACTAGCTAAAGACGACAACACAGCAAACATTAATTATATGTAAATTACAACCAGTCATTGTAACTGGGAGTTTACTGCCTTATAACTTTTGTGTATAAATGTAAAGAAGAAAGCTGGCATTGGAGTGCTTGATTTGCGGAACAGTCCACTGAGCACCCAGGCCTGAATAAACAATATCTCTCCTGAGTGCATGAACTGGTTTACTGCACGCTGAGCACAAATCCGCTTTTCGGACAACAATAGCAGAGTAGAACGCCATTTTAAATAATGCGGGGGAGCTGCCCTCTCTGTAGAGAGGTCATTTTAGTTTGAGTATTGAAATGGCATTGTTTGTTGAAACGGCTGACAGTGGAGAAAAGAAATAAAAGACTAGAACAAGGATCTCATCCTTCATTTGGGTTAATATAATTAATAAATATTTATTATACAAACATTTGGTATAGGATATGTACCTTGTCAATAGATTTGTTGCTTATTAAAAGTAAGTGGATGGACCATTATTTCAGCCTAATTCAAAGGGGCTTTAAACAAGCCATATCTAATTGGAGAAGAGGCTAATATAGTGAGCCTTGATAAGTTTTGAGGAGCCAAGCATGGCTACTGCCTGGGGGTGGCACTGTAAAATGACTAGGGAATAACCTCAAAATGCATTAAATATTCTGAAATCTTCTGTGCAGGCAAAAGGCTTAGAGCAGGTCACTGGGACAAGGATAATTCCTCCTTGTATGCTACTACGTGAAATTGTTAATTTAGTCCTGTGTGCTTCTTGAGTAATCATGAATAATCAAATTGAAATACTGTTAAAAAGCAGATTATAATGCAACAATGCTATGGAATAAATTACTGTTGTCTGAGATTACAGGCAATACTTGGTTTTACTTTAGCAACAGTGCGAGTGCCTGTGTTTTGAGAAGGTGTTGATTATTGTATCTAATTCTTTTTTTCTCTTTGTTTTAGCTAGCTGGGGTGGCCTTCCTTGCAGCTGGTCTGTGGGCATGGAGTGAAAAGGTAAGGGTAGAAATGACTGGTCTTACATTGGTGACTGCCCTCTTCTACCTCTGCTCCCCATAAAACTACTTCCGCAGGAAGCAGCAAAGATTGAATGTAGCATCTGAGCTCATGACCATGTTTGAATGATCTAAACCAAGTTTAGTTGGAGTTTTATTCTTGGTCAGGTGTTAAGCTGTGGCCCTTGATGTTTAGACCTTTTTTGTAAACTTTTAAGAGCAGGATGCTTGGGAGAACTTAACTTTTACTATTAGTCCTTACAAACTGGTTCTCTTTTGAAAGCATGCTTTCTAAAATACAGCTCTCTACCCCCCTCTTTTTGCTACAAACAAGAAGGATTTGGGAGAAATGTAAAAGATACCTGATTTTGATTAAAAAAAAAAAAAAAGCCCAACTGAACAGAAATCAAACAAAAAAAAACCCAAACACAAACACACATACTGGGGACTGTCATTTTGAAGTATTCCAGTCTTCAGGCCATCTACTATCTTCCTTTTGGAACTTCCTATGGAGTTGCTTAAGTTACTGTGTCTCTGTGTAGAGGCTCAAACATGGGGAGCATGATCTAACTAAATAAGGCTTTTATATTTGTCAAAGGTTTCTTCTAGTGAGCAACTTCCTCAGAGGAAGTCTGTTGTGAGCATGTACCTACAGAGATCTCCTATTACAAAGAGATGGTATAGGTATGGAAATGAATGGTTCACTCCCTTGTCATGAATGTAGAAGCATGGTTTTAATATGACTGCAAGCAGTAGGAAAAAGTGACAGTTACTAGCAGATTTACTGATCTTGAACCTTAATTAGCAGTGGAAAGCAGGTGCCCTCACTTGTACTGCTGGGTAGGAAGAGTTTAATTACCATTGTGGTGTAACATTTCCTTAATCAGAGTGCTTATACACAGCAGCTGTGTATACACATACAACAGGGAGGTTCTGGGACTCCACATACAGAAAGGTTCTAGGATTCTTCCACTTTTTGGAAGTGAAAGAGTTTTATGATGATCTTAATGCTGAGGTATGTATTCTCCTTCTCCACACTCCCTGTGTGTGTGCAGGCATTCTTACAACTAAATAAGTGATGTGACTGATACGTAGTAAGCAGCCTACTTCCACTCAAATGCATTTACCTCTTAGCCTGTTGTTATAGAAGGATTTTATTTCCAGTCCTTTAGAGAGAGTGTTAATCTTGTTTTGAATTTGTATTCTCTCAAGTTCAGACATCATCTTCTGTTCTGTGAAGAATCACATAGGGTATATGTGTTTGAAATGACTAGCTCACAGCTACCTCTAATTGCCAGAGGGACTTTATGGTACACTGAAGTTACTAAAAGGCAAGGACAGATGCTTTCTGTCTTTATTCCTTAAATTTTGCCTGAACTGTTTCTGTTCTCTGTTCTAACTTAGAAATAAGTGCTTCAAAGCTTTTCCTGTGGTTTTGAACTTCTGAATGGCTTGTAAAATCTGTACATGTCTGTTATTCTTTGTGATGTGGACGGTCTTTCGTACTAGTTACTGTTCTTCAGTCATAGTGTCTGTATGGATCTGTTTGTTTACAGATAAATATCTTGGTGAACAATAGATAGGAAGTAAGAGAAAAACATTCCAGAAGCTGTGCTGCAGCAGTAAACTGAAAGATAAAATTACAGGTGGTGGAAAAGTTTTGAACATCCTGTCTCTTAAATGCAACATGAAGTACATTGGGTCCCTTTAACTTCTCTGGTTTTTCTTTTACCATGAAGACTGTGTTATAATGAGTTATTATGTTATAAAGTTGTGACAATCAACATCCAGTTTACAGAACTTCGTTTATAAGAAATCAGCTCTGTCCTTGTCTGATGTATTTTATGGTTTCCATACTAATGTATCTCAAAACAGTAACTGGTTTGGCATCTGTTAATGGGATATATTAGAGATGTTTTATTTGAAGACAACCCATGTTTGCCCTCTGTTGGCAACACACTTCAGTTGAGATGGTGGCATAATGCTTACAAATATTAAAAAAGAGGAAAACAAAGTAAACATGTACAGTTGAACTCTTAATTCACTGTTCCAGGTGACTGAAAGGAAGACTTAAAGGCTGAGTTTTATTCTTGGATTTTTTTTGACAGTAACCAGGTATCAAACTTCATTCCTGTATACCTGTAGGAAATGGAAGTGCTGTTTTAAAGGGCACTCTGGGCCTCAAAGAGCTTTTACCATCCTGCAGATGACACAGGCAGAAGCATCCTTAGAGAGATGAGGGCGGTGGAATGAGATAGTGCCCTGAATTAATTCTCTTGTTTACTTCCTTCCTTCAGGATTTTTCACTTAGCATCTTCTGTTGGGCAAAAAGCACCCTACGACCTTCTTTGCAAAAGAGAATGTTGTAAACATCAAACATGAACATGAAGAAACTGTTGTGAACTCAGCAACATCTGAGGGTGAATAACAGAGCCCAGTTCCTGCCAACTGTTCTTCATAAAATGTTTTGATCAGAGGAAGTTTTCTTCCAAAAAATGTTGCTTGAGCAAGTGAGATTGTCTGAAAAAAAAGCTCCTGTTTGTGTTGGAAAGGAGATGGCTGGAAATAGTTGTGACAGTTTCAATATCCTGGTCACAGTGTTTGGTTTCTTAGTGTATGGGTTCTACAAAGACATTAGCCTAGCTAATCCTGGCATGTCTTCCTTCATTTTTGGGTTCTGAGACAAGGTTTGATTAGGTAGGACTCTCACCATTAATCCAGAAGACCAAGTTTGATAGTCATCTGTTGATAATTGTGTTACAGTTTGTAAGAATGGAAATGTGTTACTGGTGACTAGAAAAGTCTTTGCTTCCCAAGACTTTGAATGCTGTGATATCTATAAACCCTGACCAATTTTTAATAGGCCATTTCAACTGTTAGCAGCTATTGCGAGGCAATTCTAAATCCTACAGTTCAATTTTTTTAGTTATTTTCATCCTTTCAACCAGTTTTGATAAAAACAACCTTATTGTCTTGCTGTTGCCAAATCAACAGCTCTAATGAGATCTGTTATAGAACAAATTCTGAAAGAAGATGAATTCCTACGTATCACTGCCATACTGTAAATCAGTGTGTTTTCATCAGCTGAAGTTTCTCCATGTGCACATTTTATTCTAGTGCTGTATTTTGAAGACATTATTTTTATTAAGCAAGTATTGAGATAGAAAGTGACACAGGTTTTTCCAAGGTATTCTCTTAAAATGTATATTCTTTGCACTTAACTCATGCTACTCAGGTATTTGTGCTAGGTAAGAATTTGCTTTCTCTTGATGGAATTAAACTGCTTATATGAATTGCTTTCTGTCTCGCTGATATCTTTCTCTTACACTGAACAAAATCAGCTTTGGAATATACTTTATTAAAAAAATAGACCTGTAATGATGGGATTTTGTACTGTGTATTTTGTTATTTCTCCGTTTGAAAAGGAAAGTATTTCCTTATTAAATGTTCTGTGTATTGCTGATGAGTGTATGGCAAAAAATTAATACTATTGCAAGGCTGCCTGGATGTGCTTACAGATTTTTTTTCTTGAAAAGCTTGTTATGTGTATTTGATGGGATTTTAATGGTAGCTGGTGTATAAGCTTAATTTCTTTAAAGCCTAATCTAGCATTATGTTTACATAGATTTAGAAATTCTGCCTTAAGATCTAGACAGACAGGCGAGGTGAGAATTTTGTCAAGATAAGTGATGTGTCTGGATGCTGAAGAAGAAAATATTGTTGCTGAATTAGGAAAATTGGAAGTATATAGAATAGATAACTGGTTTTGGTGTAAGAATTTTATCTAGGATGAAATGGGAATATTTGGGCTTTACTCTCTATTTTGCCAGATTTTGGAGTAGCATTTCTAAGACTATTCAGCAGTAGAAGGGGGTGTAAGTAAAATGTTGAGACAAAAAAAAACCTTCAAGCTTCCCTTGAAAACTAAAACAAGATTCTGTTCCCATCCCTTAAAATGTCAGCCATAACCTGCTTTGTAGTTTATGTCTCTCCCTTTCTGCCATGAAAACATAAGGATTGGAAAAAATTCCTTAAATTTTCTTAGACTTTGTAATGCCCTTCTGATTAATGTATTTCAGGTTAATATAAAGCATTAGTTCTTTTGCCCTGAAACTGAATGAATATTCAGTGATAATATCGAGCTTTGGCCCCATCTTGTGGAAGCTTGTTTGGCCAATAGACCTAGAAGAATGTAATCTGAGACTGCACTGGTTTTACTTATTTAAAGTATTATTAGCTATAACTTTGCATTAATATTTCCTCTGCTATGGTGAAGAAAATTGGCATTGTCAGTAGCCATGTTACAGTAAGAGTTTTCCATGAGGATCAATTGTTGGCAAGCTCAGGGGTTAGCAACTAATTCGTTTGGAGTCATCTGGAAACCATGGACATCCAGAAGAAATGCTTAATGAAGTACATACTTAAAGTAGTCACCTTTTTCTGCTACCCTATTTTTCTCTTTCAGGGTGTATTGTCTGATCTGACAAAGGTAACTGGTCTTCATGGTCTGGACCCAGTGTTGCTTGTGTTAGTGGTTGGAATAGTGATGTTTACTTTGGGATTTGCTGGTTGTGTAGGAGCGCTGAGAGAAAACATCTGCCTTCTGAAGTTTGTAAGTAACACCTTTATATGAGTGGATTATGTATGAGAAAGTTGGGAATGATGGGTGAAGAACTAGTAGCAAACTCAAATAATTACTTTTTAGAACTTTGTTACAATGTATCACGATGTCTGTTACAACTTACTCCCCTAACAAGCTTCTGAGTAACGGTATGAAAGCAGCGTAGGTTCAGGTATTTTCCCCTTCCTGGAAAGTGTTTCTTCCCTTTTTTATTTATTCTGTTATGGTGGTGATGTTAAAGTATTGTATACCAGAATCTAACATTGTGTATGTAATATCACAGAATATGATGTTTGGAACATATTCAGTGTTCCAAACTGAACAGGAATTAGGAATTGCTGAGAGGAGATGGTATAGTGGCTTAGGGAGAAAAAAAATCCCTTAAAAATTTAATTTTTTTTTCTAAATGGACAAAACATGGAGACTTTGACAAATGTCAGATCTCTTAAATTTTATTTTTTTTTATACTGAGGCTGCTTCTTTGCTTTAGATCTGAAAACGAGCTGAACAAAAAAGTTGTAAAACTGGAAACAATTCAAGAAATAACATCAAGACTACTTCAGCGCTGTATTTTGCACATTCTTATTTGTTATCACTGCTGTGCATAATGATTGTGGTGTGGTGCTTATTTTACTGTCGAGTTTAGGTGACCAAAATAAAGATAACTCTCCCTCTTGGGTGTTTCTTTACATTGTATTCTCATTTTAACAGGCTGTGTTCTCATAGTATTTGTAGTGAGTAAGAATTTTAACCTAATTCTCTGTGTCTGTTTCTGGTGGAGTTGGAGTAGGGATGCATTCAAAATGAATGGATATTTTCTAATTTGTGCCTTTTATTTTTACAGTTCTGTGGAGCAATTGTGTTTATATTCCTGCTGGAGGTGGCAGTGGCAGTTCTGGCTTTCCTGTTCCAGGACTGGGTGAGGGACAGGGTCAAAGAATTCTTTGAGAACAATATTAAATCCTACCGAGATGATATTGACCTCCAGAACCTCATTGATTCGCTGCAGAAAATTGTAAGTTCATATCCTATCACTAGTCTCATGTGTTCTAGGAGAGTATGTAGATTTGGAAGTTTTCCTTTTTGTTAAGATTTTATCATATTCTCTAGTTAATAGTGCCATGTTACAGATGTGCTGGTTTGCTCTTTTTGCACTGAAAGCATCAGGGAGGCAAGATATTCTAAGAGACAATGCTGTTCTGTCAGTGTGGAAGCTCTACGAAGCACGCATCTGTCTTTGACCTTCTTCACTTGCTCCCCTGTTCTTATCAGTGTTGCAACAGTTTAAGAGGTGAAAAACAAAAACACTATCCTGAGAAAATTGTGCACAGTGATTGTGTAGTACTTGGTTGCCTACTGGGGTTAAATCACAGTAATTAGCTGTATATTGCCAACGGGTTACCTGTCCTGTTCATTCAGTCTTGTGTGCATTGTTATGGAAGCATCCTCTTACTAATCTACCTGGTTGGATTTCAGTGCTGTTTTGCTTTAGCTTTTGGTGCTAAGGGCACCTTTTTGTAAGGTGGGGCTCCTCCTGGCCATGACCAACACCAGTAATTTTCTCAGTATTGCCCACTCTGTTGTTCTTTGTTTACCTAGTTTCAGTATAGTCATCCAGGCTAATACACTAAGCTGATTTACAGTTGAACTCCAATTAAATACTTTTCAATGAAAATAAAAGGCTGAATGTACTAAGAAGAGTTCAGTAGCCAGACTAACATGCTAATAAGCCTGAAAAAGGAAGGACCAGAAAAATCTCTCCATTGGCCTGTCATTGATTCATGCATGAAAGTACTGAGGAAGGAAGGATGCAGTGTGGATAAGCAGGTGTAGTTCTGCAGGGGCTGAACAGCGAGATAGAGCAGTCAGTTCAAGTGCCTCAGTGAAGCCCATCTTCTAAGGAGCTACGCTTCTTAGGCTGACTTGCTCTGTTCTCAGTGTGTGCCTTGGGACCCTGAGAGATTTTTGTAGGCAGCTTCCTGCTCTGGCTAATTTTATTGCTTTCAGGCCTGTAAATGACCTCACAGTCTGTACCTTATGGAATTAGATTAACATGCTTTTGGTGGTTGCATGCCTTATTTACAACAGATGTGTCAGGGAGGAGGGACCAGAAAGATGAAAACAAACCTCTTCTGCTTTCTTCATGGTAAATGACTGTTCTGTTCAGCTCTCCTTAGTTATACATATGCTGCGAAAACGTTACAAAAGCAACTGTCCACATCTGTTGCTGTCACAGTTTGATAAGTTGTGAATCCATTTACTAACTTCAAGTTTTGGTAGTCTTACAGACAGTTAGATTGATACAAGTTTTGTGAAGATGGGTGTTGGGCAGAGGAAAGATTCTAGAGATATCCCAAGAGGATGGAACTTCATGAAATACCAGGAAAATCTATGTGATGGTATAACATTTCAAGTACTCAAGTTCTAGAGAAAGATTTGTGCCCTCAGATATCCAGGCTCGTAAGCTGTAAGGCTTAACCTAATAAGAAACTAGCTTTCATTAGTTCAAGAAATTGACCATTCCTTGTAATGGTGTGATTTCACCAAACTGCAAATTGTGATAACTGTAGTACACTGTTAAAAAGTATTTTCACATAGGTTTCTTTACCTAGAGTTGACTGACCTTTGAGCTAGTGAGACTTTACCAGCTAATTCATTTGGATATGAAAACCTTCTCATTTAAAAGGAAGGATGTTCTTAAGTGCTTGGATCCACTTTTTACAGTAAACATGAAGATTTAAAGATGGGGTTGCAAATTTAAAGTTCTTTTTTTAATAAGTTTTCTGGTTTGGTTGACTTGGAAACAATGGGGTAGAAAGCATTTGTTAAACACTTTTGTTGCACCATTTATGGATGTTCACTGATTGCATCTAGCAATTACCTCTAAAGTGATAATTTTTATGATTCTGACTGTCACACTGACACCCATTTCCAGGAGCAGTATGCCAAATGTATTGCTTTGATTTCATAGAACTACTTTATTGGTTAATAATGTTTTACTCTGATGCTGCTGTTAATTCTGCACAGTGTTAGAGGAAGTGAAGATGATAAGCAAAAATCATTCCAGAGAAAGCGTTCAGTAGATAAGTTGTCTCTAAAATATCCCCAAATGCTAAGAGTTCATTTATGTGTTACAGAACCATTGCTGTGGTGCCCAAGGGCCAGATGACTGGGACTTTAACATATATTTTAACTGCAGCAGTGAAAGCAAAAGTCGTGAGAAGTGTGGTGTTCCTTTTTCCTGTTGTATACCTGATCCTGCAGTAAGTTGTTTCCTGGTTTTGTATTGCTCTGATGTTGTTGGAGAGTTATGAAAGGAAGCACTTCCTGGATAAAGTGTGATGACTAGAGCTTTAAAAAGTCTTCTGAATGATCAAAAAAATTACTCTTGTGCATATAAACTCTTTTCATGTTTCTGTTCTAGACTTTATAGAGTCCAAATGTGGCAACCTGGTCTTCCATGGCTTGAGTGGCTGATTTTTATCCCCTACCCCAATGTGTTGTTGCCTTGAATTTCTGTCCTCTGTCTAGCTTGTAAGGACCTGAAAGCACTGTCTAAGCAGTGCTTGCCCTAGTTAATATAACATTCCCCCCTCTGCCAGACAAGCAGGAGTAACTATTTGCTGGTTGTTTATCAGCAACTAATAAAGTGCTTATGCACAGTCTCAGTTTAAAGCATGTTGAGTAAATTCTATGGTTTTGCCAAGATTTAGGTGAGATCTGTTTACTAAACTTCAGGAATCTAACCTTTCCAGTGGAAGCCAGAATGTGGAGGTAGGACTAACATATAATGCTTGACAGTATTAGTAGGAATAGTTACAGCTCAAAGTTGGTCCAGAAGTCCGTATGCGGAATAGATAACTCTTGGTAGGTTATACTGAGGCTTTTGATTGTCTTGGAAATCAGCCAAGGAAAGACTTTGTCAGGGAAATATTCCATGTTCAGATTTCCCAGTAATTATTTTCTACTTTAATTTGGATCAGTACTATTCAGCTGCTGTATTTAAGGAGACATAAGTGTGGTTAAATCTTCTTAAGAAGAGATTTACTCCTAATAGTTCACTATAACTCACTATGGATTGTTTGAATTGTGCTATAATTGTGTAGTACATAAGTTTTCATAAGGCTCATGCGGAGAAAACAGCGAGTCTTCAATGGAATGTCTTTGCATCTTTGGAGATGAATATTGTCTTTGGGTTGCGTAGGGTTGTGATTTGGAAGATGTTTGTGGTCTTCCTACTTGGGATCTGCAGCTGAAATATTTTGTCTTCATGACTAGGTATATCTTGGGGCTGGGTTATATGTGAGACTGAACTATCAACTGAGGGGGCTCAAGTAGCTTGCTGCTGTTACTTATTTTAAACTGATTGGAATAGCAAGTTGTATACCACTTGAAATGATGGAATTGTAAGGCGTGTGTCTTCATTGCTGGTATAAATGAATCAGCCAGATCTTTATTGTTACCTCAGTGTTATGTGTAATACCTAAATGAAACTGATCTTGGAAATGTAAATGTCTTATTTGTATGCTGGCAGTACATTTACTCTGCTTTATGTTAAAAAGTCCTTGCTAGTTGAAAGCCAAGTGATAGAAGCAGCTAGGATTTCTGGTGGAGGATGTTTTCCTGTGACTATACACCTCTGCTTTGTCATTACTTTTCTTGTATTCTACTAGTGCTTTGCTGATTTTTAGTAAAAGTACTTCTTAAAATGTTTGGCTCTGACAGTCCTGATTTGTTTGTCTGTGAAATCTTAAAAAAAAATTTCTGTAAACAGAAGTGAGTAAAATTCAGTTGATTTATTTTAAATCTCTCTTGCTTTGCAGCAAAAAGTTGTGAATACGCAGTGTGGCTATGATATCAGAAAGAAGGTAAGGTACTGGGGTCTTGCTATCTGTCATTCTGTGCTTGCATAAGCAAAATTATAAAAATGGTGAAATTGCTGATAGTTATGTCAGCTTAAAATTCTGGGAACTAATGGACTGTGCCTCATACTGCAAGTAAACCTCTACTGTGAGAGGGTGGAGAAAATAAGTGATGGAATGAGTAAAGGGAAAGGTGTGTTTCAAAAAGGGGTATTACTTGCATTTCAAATGTGCATTTCAGTTATTAGTTATAATAGTCTAACTCTGAATTCTATTATCTGCTAATTATAGAGTATTCTAATAACAGGATTAGCAGAAAGATAATAACATCAGTGTCTGACATTCCCTGATTCAATCAGGGCATACATGTATTTCTAGAGTCTTGTTAAAACATTACTGCATAAGTGACAAATTGTCTACCTATATCATGTGATTGTTCTTATAATAAACTTGAGCAGAGAAGTAATATTCTTCCTCTCTACATTCAGAGCAAGAGTCAATGGGATGATCAGATTTTTGTCAAAGGATGTATTCTTGCCCTTGAGGCTTGGTTACCCCGAAATATCTACATTGTTGCAGGTGTCTTCATAGCTATCTCACTGCTCCAGGTTAGTTGCTTTTGGTGTACTACTTTGAAAAAAATTCAAGTTTGCAGATACAGACCTAATGAAGGGAAAAGTAGTAACGGTAAACGTGGAGTTAATAGTTTGACACAGGGTTTTTTTTGTAGGTATGAGAATAATACGGCAAAAAAAATTATGGGGATGGGGACTTAGAGTGAAAATACCTGATATCAACTAATTCTGTTGAAATTATATTACTCAAAGCGATGAAGGTCACTGTAGAAATACAGTGCTATTATAATCCATAAATTATATGATTATTTTCTATTGTTAGCATATTGTTAATATATATAGTTATTACATAATGTGATGCAGTACTTCTTATGTTTCAATGTTCCCTGAGGCAAGGGAGATCTGGTCATCTGCTCCAATAGATCTGTTCTATAGCCTTCTATCACAAATGTGAAATGACTGAAATACAGTTCTGCACCCATGTTAAAACTACCACTTGGCTGTAAGCGATGTATAGCATACTCCTCAAAAAAAGTTGAGACCATGAGAGCAGGGAAATTGGTGAACAGGATGTAAACGTGATATTAGCAGACCCAGATGAAGCTGCTGTGGCTTCTTCCAGTGCTTTTGTTGGTGCTTGGTACATCAAAGAGCAAAAATTCCCAGTAAAACATTGGATTACTTCTTTCAAAGAGCATCCTGCTTTCATTTAAGGCAGCTGTGTACATTTACCTAAATTTTTTTTTATATGTTACCACTAAGGTGGGAAATAACAAAGTTGTTGGCCTACTACAGAATGTATTTTCCAGTTGAATGAAAACAACATAGTGCTGGCAAAATACCTTTTCTCGACCATGGCAATACTGCCCTCTGTTGCTAAGTTTTTAGTATTTTTTTACCATCTAATTATATGCTTCTATGGCTTTGAGAGATGCTGTCCTGAGAGCAGCACCTTTAGTTAGGAAGATGTTCAAGATATAAATTCACATCTTTTGGCAGTGTGTTGACTGACAATAACTTCTTGTTATTCTTTCTCATGTCCTGAATCTCTGGGAAACCACTTTCACAGTCACTTGTCTTTTCAGATTGAGTCTTTCTTGTGCGTTAAACTATTCCATTGTGAGACTGAGAGTTAGACATAACCTGACTACTTCTGTAAAGAAATCTTTTTGGCTTTTCTGAAACTTCACTCCAGTCTGTATTTTTTTAATGCTGTTTCAGGATATGTGCTGAGTTATGGGTATATCTTAAATTTGTAAAGGAAGATTTCCCTGAGAACTGGAGTGAATGTTAAAACTTCAAATTTAAATGTCTCAGAATAATCTGGGACATCTCTCACTATTCTTTGTGACAAGAATTTCATTTTAGTACAGGTAATTGTTTGGTTTATATGTATTTTAAAAAATTGTTCAGAAATTGACTTGATTATTCAGAGTTGTAGAACAAATGAAAATGCCTGATTTGTAACTTTAGCAACAGCTAAGTGAGTAATAAGACTCAAACTTGGCTAAGTGGATTTCTTCCAGCTCTAGGGCGTAAGAAGCTTGTTATTATGAATGCTTCTGAAGTGTTACATGAAAGCATCTTTTTCTCGTAAGTTTTATTTCTTGCAAGATTCTGCTGCCTTTATTACTTTTTAGTCATAGCTATGCTTTGATGGATGTTCCTAGCTATGAAATGATATCTAAACCTGCAAACAAACATCTTGCAGGCTGGTATATTACAAGTGTTTCATCTCACAAATTTTTGTTTGTTTGTTTGTTTTTGTTTGTGTTTTAGATTTTTGGTATTTTCCTAGCCAGGACATTGATATCTGACATTGAAGCTGTAAAGGCAGGTAATGCCTTTTGAATATAAAAGAAAAAAAAAAAGTGTATTTTATAGTTACTGGTTGGACACCAAGGAGGAAGAAATACACAGGCCATGAAATACTCCTGCTAAAAGCCTTATATGGATTTTGCCCAGCTCATGCTTTTTTGTTGGAAGCTGGTACAAAAGCAAGATCTCAGAACACACACCTGTCTACCCTTTTTTCTGACAAAATGACTCAGTGCCAGCATTGATCTCTGAGGAAGAAATGGAATTTCTCAAGATATTGGTGGAACAGATTTTGAGGATTGTAGCAACAAGTCATGAAACTGCTGTAAACTCTTTCCTTGAAAGATTACTGTGAAGACTCTTCTGTTTTCTCTCCCAGCTGTCATCAATCTCAAAATGTAATCTTTTAGAAAAGTGTGCTGATTTCTTCAGAATGTTGAAATCATTTTAATGTCTACAGTAGACTCATGCCGTCATTTTTGGCAAGGTACCCAGCAACCATAACTGTAATGGTATTGGAAGTTGGAAAAAGAAAAAAGTCCTGAATTGTCTAGATCTTTAAATGATTTTCAGTTGTACAGAAGCAAGGGTATTTCTGTTTGACTGGGAATTGCATAGATGTCTCAGGAGCAGGAACCTTGTGCTCAGCATCAGAGTTTGAGTAACCCATGCTGTTTTGAAAATGCAAGCCCTTCTTCCAGAGAGGAAAAATCTTACTATCTGTAGCATTAGATGTTAGAAATCTCCATTTCAGGCAGGGGGTGTGAATCCTTGATGCTGTTTCCTGTCTAAAAGATTTTAAATATTCTTTATCTATAGAGAGAAAAAACTCCTTAAAAATGCTTAGCTTTTTATTGATTGGTAATATCATTTAAAAGTTCTGTCTGCAGAAATTTCAAAATGCAACTTGCTTCAGTAGGTAGCAACCATGATATGCTATGAACCCCATGTTCATGGGTTTTTGCCCTTTCCTCCATTTTTTCTTACAACTGCTATATTGATCTTCAGAAGTCCTAACTGTTAATGTCAGGACTGATGGAAAACATTTAAACTCAGCATTGATCCTTACTGAAATCTGTTTTTTTCATGATAAAATACGTATTTACTAAAAGATTAGAGTTGTTGAATTTTTTTAATCTTCTGTAAAGCTATTGAATTGTCAGTTCTGCTTGTATTCTGATACACAGTTCAAATGCTAGTCACAGTAGTGATCCAGAATGATTTCTTCACAGTAATCTTCTACATCAAACTTAACTACTGCTGAAGTAATTTTATTTTTTTTTCACCTTATTTTTATGAGAAGAAAACTACTATCTCTTTCCCATCATCCCTTCTTGGGGTTTCAATAGATGGATCTGTAGTTCAGTAGGAGTTCCAGTCTTCTGTAAAAGATTTTGGCATAGTATTTTTAACTTTAAGATAGAATTATGTGACTGAAAAGTTCTTGGAAGTAGCTGTCAGGTTTGCTGTGGGCCATATAACTAACATTGTTTACTCTTCCAGTGACACCCAATTTTTTCAGGAAGAGCAGATTTATTTACAGTGCCTAACACTGTGTAAATTTTAAAGAAAGTATATATTTTTATAGTATTTTACTACACGTAGCCTGCCTGAAGGATTTAATACTTGTATTTCCAAAGTATATAGCTTTTTTAGGAAGCCAAACTTTTAAATCTCTCTCCAATGTCCTTTTTTCTATTATGCATGTATCAACAAACATTTCACTGGCAAAAGCTGATCAACAGTAAGGATCTTAGTATCTGTACTGATTGTCAAGATACCCTTCCAGCTTTTAATTTCTGAAGCACTTCACAGACAGTGCTATGCTTCTCATGTAAATCAGTTCAGCTTTCACAGATCTTTTTCTGGCTTGTGATTGAGACACAACAGGAAAAGGAAGCTTGTCTAAGGATGGCTGATTTCCCTACATTAGCAGAGAGCACTGCTATTAGTCATCTGAAAACATTAAAGAAAATGCTAGAAGTGCACTGTCATTTATTTTTATTTAGCTTTGATATACAACAAGAAAACAGTAGCAGTAGATCACTGAGGGGAAAGCAAGAAGCAGTTCTTCTGTAGAGCCTTGAATTTGAGGTCTGTGTTACTTATTTTGTTAAATCTAGTCTATTAGGAGCAGGCAAAAAATTGCTGCTGTTATTGCTGCTTTGCAAGCAACAAAGCCATGTCCAGCAACCTTTGCTTTGAACTGGTGCTTGAAACTTTACAACACCTCATCAACCAATTTATTCTGTTAAGGCTATGAGTAATAATCTGATGTGTATAAAAATTGAGAAGGATGTTTTCTATTTGTAACTTTTTATTCATAAAACATTGCCTTGAAAATTGCATATAGGGAGCATGTTTCCCTTTGCCAATTTTTGGCACAGAAAGCTCCTAATGCTGTGAAGTAATTTCAGCAGTTGGTAAAAATCAACATGGTGTCTCAAAGATACCTGTGGAATTCATGCACTGAAATTAGCTACTGACAAGAACCAGCATCACAGATCAGAATTCTAGTGTCTGCAAATCTTGCCAGATTGCCTGTAGACAAATGAATACTTGGTTTCATTTTGAAGTACTGTTTGTATGCAAAACAGATTTAATGGAAGTGTTGTCTTTCCAGTGTGTTCTTACCAGCTTTGGCCATATTAATTTGATAGATGGACCACTTGGTGGACAAAGAGGTGGCTGGGTGGCCGCACGCAAAGAGTTGTGATCAATGGCTTAATGTCCAGCTGGAGACCAGCAACGAGTGGTGTCCCTCAGGGATCGGTGTTGCGACCGGTCTTGTTCAACATCTTTGTCGCTGACATGGACACTGGGATTGAGTGCACCTTCAGCAAGTTTGCCAGTGACACCAAGCTGTGTGGTTCGGTTGATACGCTGGAGGGAAGGAATGCCATCCAGAGGGACCTTGACACGCTTGTGAGGTGGGCTGATGCCAGCCTTATGAAGTGTAACCATACCAAGTGCAAGGTCCTGCACCTGGGTCAGAGCAATCCCAGGCACAGCTACAGCTTGGGCAGAGAAGAGATTTAGAGCAGCCCTGCACAGAAGGACTTGGGGGTGTTGGTCGATGAAAACTAAACATGAGCCGGCAGTGTGCTCTCACAGCCTAGAAAGCCAACCATATCCTGGGCCTCATCAGAAGGAGAGTGACCAGCAGGTCAAAGAAGGTGATTGTGCTCCTCTACTCTGCTCTCATGAGACCTCACCTGGAGTACTGTGTGCAGTTCTGGTGTCCTCAACATAAAAAGGACATGGAACTGTTGGAACAAGTGCAGAGGAGGGCCACAAGGATGATCAGGGGACTGAAGCACCTCTGGTATGAAGACGGGCTGAGAAAGTTGGGGCTGTTCAGTCTGGAGAAGAGAAGGCTGTGTGGAGACCTCATAGCAGCCCTCCAGTGTCTGGAGGGGGCTGCTGTGGAAGGGCTCTTCATTAGGGACTGTAGTGATAGGACAAGGTCTAATGGGTTAAAACTTAAACAGGGGAAGTTTACATTGGGTATAAGGAGGAAGTTCTTTACTGTAAGGGTGGTGAGGCACTGGAATGGGTTGCCCAGGGAAGTTGTGAATGCTTCATCCCTGGTGGTGTTCAAGACCAGGTTGGATGAAGCCTTGGGTGACATGGATTAGTGCGAGGTCTCCCTACCCATGGCAGGGGGATTGGAACTAGATGATCTTAAGGTCCTTTCCAACCCTAACTATTCTATGATTCTGTGTTTCTATATTAACACCAGCTTTGTATCATCAGTACTGCAGTTACTGGGAACTGAATTCATTAGAGCAAGTTCAACCTGTTTAAGGATCTATAAATTCATGGAGTGATTTGTTTTCACTGAGGATAAACTTCTCTGTCCTTGCTCAGTGTTACTTTTAAAACCCTAGAGCTCTAGGCTGGTATACCCCAAGGCATTTTGAAGTGCACCCCTATTGGTTGTACACATGGGAAATGTAATTTTGGACTTGGAATGGAAATACTGTCTTAAAACTTTCTGCCTAGCACCTTCTCTGTGGACCTGAAGTGACTTCATGGGTAAAAATTTAAGTTATGGTTTAAGAAAAGTCTTATCAGCTAAAAGCTGTTGAGTGTGAACCTGCCTCTAAAGCCTTGAAGGAGAAGCAATTCAATGATCTCACGAAGAGAGGTTTGATAAATTGTTGGTGTTGAGATTTCAGTGGTTACATTCAGAATGACTCCACAAACAGTACAATGGAAATGAGTTTTAATGATGTCAAATATGAGATCAGACTTGAATAACTAGACTGAAAAAGAAACATTTCAGTGTGATCCCTTTTATTTCTCTGAAATAAGCACAATCTATTTGTGTGAAGCTGTGTATTTATTTGGCAGTATGTATGACAGTACAACTGCCCTTTTGTTTTTATTAATATGCCTGCACTTGGGCACAGCTTCCTTGTATGGGAAGAGGAGTATGAATATAAGCCCTAAAAACAAGTACAGAGACCAAAGGAGCTTTGATCGTCTCCTAACACCTCAGTATTTCTTCCCAACGGGTTTTGTTTTGGTGATCCTTGTATGGTGCCATGTGGATAAACTTGTACCTCTAGTCCACTGAGGTCAATGTGATGATTGGCTTATACATAGAACTTGGTTTTGGTTTTTGTCTCCCCATTCCATCGTTTCCTCTCCCTTCTCCCTGCCACCTGTGGTTAATCATGCAGCTTGAACATTGTTCAGCCAGTGGGAAGGGGAGGTTCTGTCTTCTGAGATGGCTTTTCTGAGTGACTTTCAGTATTTTTTTTTTTTCCTCAAGCATTATATTTGATTAAATAAAATTTAATGTTTTGTACTCCTGGAGTTTGATTTCTAGGATTTGTTGCTTCCAATCACTAGTGTTTCCCCCTCTAAGGTTTAGACTGGCTACTGAGACTGCAGTTTGCGGATAACTACAGGAACGGTAAGGGCCTGCTGGTGTTCATGTGTATATTTTGCTGAAACTAATTCTTATTTCTTTTGGGTTCTCCTCCCCCCCCCCCCCCAAGTCTTGGCAGCTGAATAATAGGTAACACTGGTACTTTTTTCTTCATTGCTAATCAAAAGCCATGAACAAGTAAAGAGCTGCAAAAAGGTGTAGAGAAATAATTAAATATCTGGACATCCATAATGTTCAAACTGCTGTTAGCACTTTGACTGCTGTTATCCACAGTTATCGCTCTTGTGATTTGAGCAGTCTGTGGTTTGTCATATTTGAGCAATGTTCCTGAAACTGTTCTTCAGAGTGCAGAAGGGAAGTCACTTCCAGGTTTGAAGATGAGACTTACCGAGATAGATTTGTGACTGCTTATTTGACCATTTTAATGTTTCTTTAATGCATTAAAACCTCATCTTAGTTTTAATAAGGTCAGAGAAATGTTTAACTAGTAGATAATGGCTATATTGGAATAATGCAATATCTGGAATTAGATACTCTGAAATTTTAACGCTGGATCATTTCTGGTAAGAATAACTTAACTTGAATATGGCTATTTGGTGTGTATGTATAAAACTTGTAATAGATTCTGATATATTTCATAGTACTTCTGGTTTAGGCATGATCCCATGAAGTTGAGATTGTCTGAAGCTATTTCTTATTTTGATATTGGAAATATTTAGGATGTCCGTATCACTGTGTGCTTTAGAGTAGAGGAAAACTGCATGTGGTTCAGCTCTTGTTTTATTGTTCTCCTACTATGAACCCAGGACAGTGGTCAAAATCTCCTTGTGTGTTACTCACCAAGTGACTTGTGTGAGGTGGTTTCATGAAATTCCCTTTCTCAAGAGTACTCATGATAATGATATTTAGTGGGCTAAATAGTATTAACAAGTTTTTCAAGTAGGGAAGCTTTTGCTTTTACAGAGTTGTAATATTCGTGCACAGACCTAAACCATTTATACTCAGATTGTTTGAGAACTTGATGTCTCTTAAATATTCCCTGCTCTATAACAATTTTTTTAAGGGTCAGTATGTTCCTGTTTTTTTCACAGTAACTTTTAATGCTGACTAAAAGTCATTATACCCTAGCTCTTCAGTAGCTACCACTAGGAGGTTTTGAATTTGATCTCCTAGGTCTTAGCAATGTGACTGCAACACACTTGAAACAGCTTCAAAAAAGTTCCTATAAGGACAAGTACAATAGATCCTGTTACCTTTTTTTTATCAAGTGACCATTTTTAAATATGAAAGGTTGCTGCAGAACTGTTCAGAGACATTTGTTGTACTACAGTTTTTCACTGTCTAGAATTAAACCCAGGTTCCCTTACTGGAGGTACCTCCAGCTGCTTCTAAATCTTCACATGTGCCCACCTATAATTTCTAGCTACCTTTAATTTGTATCTTGTCTAACCACTGTATGGACATTGAACTGCAGTTTCTTGTAACTTTGTTTCTACCGAATCTCATTCCAGGTTACAATAGCTGCAACTCTGAAATTAGGGCAAGACTGACCCTATTTGAGACATGAATATGGCATTTTACTTGCACTAGCAAGTAAAAACTCAGGTGAGCTTTGAAATTGGAAATTGAAGGGGAAGTTAGTCTAAAGGTACAGTTTTGCTGTGTTTATAAGATACTTAGTTAACAGCTGGTCTTGCAGGTTGATTCACCATGTGCAGAGGTTGAATTTGTGCCAATTAGCCCTTCGCATTTTTTAAGCTACAGCTCTTATGTAAAACCCCAGTGTTTCGGGTTGCATGATATAAGCTTGAGATCTTTTTGTAATGATTTTGAAGTCCCGTTGATACGGTACAAAGTTGCAAGTGATACCCTGATTTGATAGAACCAAGCAGCTGAAAAATGTATTGCGGAAGTAGTAGTTGTCTGATGCTTCTAATGTGATGTGTTCTAAGACTACTTGCCTTATTCCTACTGCTGTGCGTTAGTACCTCAGAGAAGAACAGCAGTGATGTAAGCATCTGTAGGCCAAATAGATGAACAAATGAGTATTCTTTTTTTCTGTTATGTGCAGCTTTAAAAGCAGGAGCTATACCTGGGCTTTAGTAGTCTTGGTTATGTGGCAGCATGATGTATGCAAGGTTGGGTTGTCAAAGCTACTGTTTACTGCGTTTGCCTCAGTGGCAGTGCAGGGTTGCTCTGGGGAAGAAGGGAGGCTAGTGGGGTGTTTCTCCTCTCAAAACTTGTAATGTTGTGACAGCTTCTTTGACTACATTTGCATTGCTGTGACTGCAGAGTTGTTCCAGGGTTTCTTTAATCTTGTCCTCTTCTATTTCTTGCCTCAGATCACCTGAATAATGATGAAAAGCTGAGTTTTAGTGACATGCCATGGCATAGTGGCTCCCAACTATTGTTGTAAGATAAGAGTTTGGAGTATTTACTGTTTAAAATGAGCTGATTTAAGTAAACTTCTCTCAAGAGACACTCTTTCAGCCATTGAAAGTATTTAACAGGTTAAGATTTTATTTTTTCTTTTCCTCCTGTTTGACTTCCAAGAACTGATTGAACAGAAAGAAAGGACTTTGTTGAAAATATAATACAGGACAAGTTCCAGGATTTTTTTGCCTGTATGCTTTTTGTTAGTCTTTTGTATTGGCAAGACCTAATTTTTAATATTAGTTATAATTTATAGAGTGCTAAGTATAGACACCTCTGGAAAGAAAAG